TGATTTATTGCCCAATGGGCCGATGTCGCAGTTGAATTCACTACATTAGCAGAAGACGGCACGGGTGAATCACCGGCAACTAAACGTAGAACGCGGTCACACAGCGCAAATCGTCTGGAAACAACATCGTCAACGACACAGTTGACTAGTCGAAAAACCGGCACCAAGCCAAAGCGTCAAGCGAGCGCGATTGTGACAAGTGATTCATCTAGTGAACGATGAAAACCGGTTCAACAAGCCATTGCGACACAGCAACAAGATACTGCGTCATCGCAGTTGCCATGGGACAAACCGGACAAACGCGTTCAAGTCGAATCAGATCGAGCACCAAACATCAAAATGGTGATGGCTGAGGCGGAAAAAAGTAAAACGTCAGCATCCGAGCTGCAACAAAATGCTGATTCACGACATGGTGACCCAGGCTTGGTAACAATCGAAAATCAACAAGATGGCGGCCATAGTCTCACCACCACACACGAAAGTGCTACACCAACAACGGGAACTTTCAATAGCGAAGGGAGCAGTTTCGCATCGATGGCACCACAGCAACCGACGATTTCATTTTCGCAAGCAAACAGTAAAGAGCCGATGAGTGCATCGAAGCAATCGGGCGTTGGTGTAGACCAAAACACACCACCACAGGCAATGAATGTGAGTTTTGGTGACTTTTCAACGGCAATAACGGGAGCACAACAACCGGTATTGCAACGCAGCGGATTAAATTTACCGCGTGCCGCTCGAACACGATCATACGTGCCACTATACCCGGCGAATGAGCAAAGAGTGCAGCAGGATGAATCGGCATTTTGGGGAATGGCACCATCGCCACAAATTGCTGAACCACTACCGACTGGTTCCCAAATCGATTTGGCATCAAACAACGCGACCACACGCGAATCACCACCGGCATCGGGCGGCGATACACGACGATATACGCCGGGCATATATACCGCCTCGGCGCATTATAACGCCTCGGTCGAGCAAATTGTTGACGCCTCAATGCGACAAAACATACCAGCTAAAGTGGTTGCATCACAGCAGGCGAATCAAAGCGAAATGTCGGTATTGGGATTGTATCACAGCAAACCAAAACCAAGTAGCCATGGCTCTTCGGGTGGGTCACAGCAATCGGGTAACCATCGCAATCAAGTTGCATCACAGCAATCCGGAAATGACTCACCATTAAGTGAACTGCAAAATCTGTCAATCAATGACGATACCAACATGGAGAATGATTTGGAGGGGCAATCGAGACAGATCTTTCAGTCTTTCCACGAGTACCATAACAAAAATATGCTGGGTATTCAACGAATTCGGACGCGATTAGAGGATCCGGAATTGAGACTCGAGGCAGTCATATGCCAAGAAGATCTACTCAAAAAATACCACGATCGGATAATTCAGAGAGCCGAGTCGATTGACCGGTCAGATATTTTAACACCAGCATGGGCAAGCAGATTGGAAGAATACATAATGGATGCCGACGAGCTGTACTCAACAGTGAAAACTGAGGTATTGACCAAGCAAAATCAACTCGATCGAACGAAAAAATCAAATGCCAACACAGGCAGCGGATCCAATCCTCTCGATAATATCTCGTTAAAGCGTCTATCATTTGACCGCTTTTCGGGAAATGACGGAGAATGGCCAAACTTCAAGGCAAAATGGGAGCAGTTTTTCCACAGCAATACACACGTGGACGACCTGACAAAATTTCTGCGATTAGATGATTGTATTGAAAGAGGAAGCGAGGCTTTCGGAGCAATCGCCGGAATACCAAGAGAACCGGAAAATTATCAACGAGCTTGGGCGGCGTTGACAGAAAAATACGACAACAAGCAGCGGATCATCGACGCCATCATTAACGCATTCGTTGATATGCCACCAATCACTGCGGCCACACGCAATAACATGATTCAGCTGATGAACGGAGTGAATAGTTTGACGGCATCACTGCAAAGATATCCTGAGCTGAATGTTCAGTCATGGGACGCGATGTTGGTAAATCTGTTACTGCGAAAACTCGACACAGAGACTTTATCGCTATGGAAACATGAACACCCGCAACGGGAAATTCCGCGTCTGCGGCCATTACTAGATTTCCTCAATCAGCGCGCCGACGGGGGTGAAAGACCAGAAGCTCAGCAGAGCAGATAACCACAACAAGCTGGAAATCGCCAGGCACAGGGTGCAGCTGGGTATACGCCACCACAGGTCGGAAACCAGCAACAACAACAGCAGGGTAACAGAGCCCAATCGCAGCCAGACGCCGGCCAACGGGTAAAAAACTATGCAAAGATTCCGGTGAAGTGTTCAATGTGTCAGGGCGAACACCAATTGTTCAGTTGCTCGGAGTTCAAAAAATTACCGGTGGATCAACGCATGCGGCGCGCTCGACAATTTCATGTATGTGAAAAATGTCTGAAGCCACGATGCCATGCAAACAAATGCAAACTCGGACCTTGTAAGCATTGCAACGGTAATCATAATGGGCTGTTATGTTTAAAATACGTGGCGCCGACCGTCCAGGCAATTGAGGCATCAAAATGACTAGGCCGAGAATTGAGCATCGCACTGCTTGCCACCATCTTAGTGGTTGTCAATGATAACCAGGGCAGCCCAAAAACGTTAAGAGCACTTTGCGACCTCGGGGGTCAAATCAATTTAATTACTGGACATGCAGTACAAGTGTTGAGACCGCAAAAATCAGCTGCATACATGCAAATCAAGAATCTCAATGGAGACATCGTTGCCGCCAGGGGCATTGCATGGCTGAATTTAATGGCCAAACATGACGACACAGTCAATGAACACGTGGGAGCGTACATCGTACCGAAAATGATGAACAACTTACCGAGTAATGAACTGGATATCGGTAAATGGAAACATTTAAAAAATATCAAGTTGGCGGACAAGACGTTTCACATTCCGAACAAAGTGGATTTGCTTCTTGGGGCCGATTTCTACAGTCGCGTTATCATAAACGGAATTCGAAAAATGAAGAATGCACCAACTGCTCAGCGCACGACGTTTGGCTGGATCGTGTTTGGCGGATACGATCACACGTATCAACATGCATCAATCATAAACACCATAGAAGGATCGGTGTCGAACGAAGAGCTGATAAACATGATTTCGAAATTTTGGCAACAAGATCAAATACCGGTTAAACGTTACCGCACACAAGAAGAACAATTATGTGAAGACATATTCACCAGCAGCATCACGACCAACCATGAGGGTCGTTACATCGCGAGAATGCCATTGCAACCAGATGCACCACGAGTGATCGGAACCTACGATGTCGCGTATGCGCGATTAATGCAAATGGAACGTAAGTTTGCGCGCAATCCGGAGTTAAAAGAAAAATACATAAAATTCATGCGCGATTACGAAGAGCTCAACCACATGAGTAGGGTGCCGACACAAAAACACCATAGCGACACAGCGATTTACATTCCACACCATGCGGCTGGCACCGAGAAATTCCGTACAGTATTTGATGGGAGCGCCAAGGATTGATGGAATTTCGATTAACGACATTCAGCTGAACGGGGAAAAGGTCCAGCCAGAACTCATCACCACACTCATGAGATTTCGCACGCATCGGGTAGCGCTCACCGCGGATTTCGCAAAAATGTATCGACAGATACTGATCGCCGAAGATCAACGTGATATGCAGCGAATATTGTGGCGGGAATCGACTGGCGAACCAGTTCGTGAATATTGGTTAAATACCCAGACATATGGGAACAAATCGGCCGCATATGTCAGCATACGCACCATGGATCACATGGCTGACGAATTCGCCACAGAATTTCCAGCGGCATCAAAAGCAGTAAAGACATCCTTCTACGTTGATGACGCATTGAGCGGCAGTCATGATCACGAATCTGCCATCGGATTACACAGAGAGCTCATCGAAATGTTCGGCAGAAGAAAGATGGAGCTGGCAAAGTGGAACACCAATGATCCAACGGTGAGGAAGCATATCAAGTCCAGCGGATGTCAATTAATTGAGCTGAATAAAGAAGAGACGACTGCGGTGCTTGGGATGCACTGGGATGCAACGGAAGACATATTTCGGTACATCAGTAAAAACCCTATTCGATTGGAAAACGCGACAAAACGTAGTATTTCGTCCGACATAGCACGACTCTACGACCCATGTGGGTATTTATCGTGCGTTATCATATTCGCCAAAGTCATACTAAAGGACTTATGGATAGACAAAGTGGAATGGGACGACAGTGTCGAGGGTGAAGCATTGCAACGATGGAAAAAGTTCGCCACAGAATTGCCAAACATCACCGCCGTACGAATTCCTCGATGGATCAACACAGATCTCAAATCAAGAAGACAACTACACGCATTCGCAGATGCGTCAAAAACGGGGTACGGTACGACGTTCTACCTTCGGCAACAACGCGACCACGAGCCAGTAACAGTACACCTAGTGTTCGCGAAAGCACGTGTGGCTCCAGTCAAGGGAAGTACAATTCCGAAACTGGAGTTGACCGCATGCCACCTAACGGCACAATTGTTAGAAGAGGTGCGAACAGCTCACGATGTCGACATAGACAATTGCACTCTCTGGTCAGACTCAATGATCGCATTGCATTGGATCGGAAAGTCACCAGCCAAATTGGACGTTTTTGTCGGCAACAGAGTCGGAGAGATACAAGAATTGACACGTGGCGTCGAGTGGAGACATGTCGACACAAAAAGCAACCCGGCCGACCTGGCATCTCGGGGAATTTCGCCATCAGAGCTGGCCAACAGTAAATTGTGGTGGAATGGACCGGACTGGTTGGCACTTGACACAGAAAGGTGGCCAGAAAGCAAGCTAAAACTTACCGATGCCGACATCGAAATGGTTCGCTGCCATGAGCGAAAAACGACGGCGATGGTAAACGTGCAGATCAACGGTGACGGACCAATTTCGAATAAACGGGGCAGTCTGTTGTACCAATACAGCAGCTGGGCAAAGCTACTGCGCATCACAGCGTATGTACTCAGATTCACCGTAAAAAGGGCATACCGCAGGACGGGTCAATTGGCCGATCATGAAATCATTGATGCAGAAAACATTTGGGTGCGACACAGCCAAAGCACGTACTTCGACAGAGAAATTAAAACAATAACCAACAAGCAGAACCTGTCAGATGGATCACCGTTATCAAAACTGACTCCGTTTGTGGATAACGATGGCATTCTGCGACTAGCCAGACGAATAAAACGATCAAACATGCCGTACGATACCATCCACCCAATACTATTAAGCGGGAAGTGCACCACAGCCAAATTGATCACCGAAGAAGCTCATGATGCGACACTGCATGGAGGAACACAGCTCACACAACAATATGTCCGACAGAGGTATTGGATCTTGGGCGGTCGACACGCCGTAAAATCAACCATAATGAAGTGCGTGCCATGCATTCGACAGAGAAAAGAAACGCAACATCAGCTAATGGCACACCTGCCGGAAGAAAGGGTAACTCCGGGAAGACCGTTCGAATCATCGGCTGTGGACTATGCCGGCCCAGTCAACATTAAACGATACAACGCGGCACGGACAAAGATAATCGACAAGGGTTATATAGCAGTGTTCGTTTGTACACGCACCAGAGCGGTACACCTAGAACTTGTATCAAACATGACAACGGAAGCATTCATTGCGGCATATACGAGATTCTCTTGCCGGCGGGGGAGGATCAAGGTGCTAATCGCTGACAATTCCACAACGTTTCAGGGAGCATCGAACGAACAGCAGCAGATTCGGAGGACATTCCAGGACGAATCAAACGATTGTCAGCAGATACACGGCACCTGGAGGAATTTGAGCATGCAAAACAGCACCACGACACAGTGGAAATTTATTCCTCCGTCCGCACCACACATGGGGGGCCTACATGAAGCCGCGGTGAAAAGCGCGAAGGCTCACCTCAAGCGCGTCATAGGCGCACAACAGCTCACCTTCGAGCAACTGGCGACACTGCTAACTCAGGTGGAGGCCTGTCTGAATTCAAGGCCACTGCTTGCTCTGAGCGACGACGCCACCGATGAACTGGCACTAACGCCAGGTCACTTCTTGGTGGGCGAACCACTCGTCGCACCCCTGAGCCGTGACCATACCTCAACATCAGCCAATAGGCTGAAAAACTTCGAGCTGATGGGGAAAATGGCGCAGGAGTTTTGGTCACGATGGTCAAGCGAATACGTAACAACACTCATGGAACGTAACAAATGGCGCCATAGCCAACCAAACATGAAAGTGGACGACATACACCACAGGCCATAAGTTTGGATACCCCTATGAATGAATTTGGCCCAAAATTTTTAAATTTCAAACCGCTTGTCCAATTTCAACATGCTATACGTCGTTGGAAAGGTCTCGGAGAGTACGTATCATTTTTGGTACTAAACATTAAAATCGGCCAGCTTTTGGCCAAGATATGGCTGATTGAAGATTTCGGCCAAAAATTACAAACGGTCATATCTTGGTCAAACGCCGGCCGATTTTGATGTTTAATACCAAAAATCACATCTACTTTTCAAGACCTTTCCAATGACGTATATAACTTTTTAATCCGATGGCCCGTTTAAGACTTCGATTTTGGCTCCCACAGCTAAAAGGCCAAAAAATGGCCATAGGCCGGCCAAATGTTATCTTCCAAATCATCCATTCGGTCAGAATTTCGATATATTTTCATATCCAATACTAAATTTCAAGTGAAAATGTTCAAAAAACGTAGAAACAAACGTTTCATAGGTCCTTCGACTGTGACCATGTTGAGAATTAAAGTAAACCGAAATAAAAATGCGTTGCGTACGTTTTACAATTTTATTCACATGATGTTACTAGTTTAAAGTCTACAATAATACTGAATTTCACTCGCTATGGCGCGGCTATTTATATAAGATTTGAATGCCTATGGTTGCTTATTCTTTCGTTGCTTTCTTAAAATCGAATCCTGTTCAATTCTGAACAAATACCAAATATTTTTGTCAAAGAATGTACTACAGCACTGTTGAAGCCAATAACACACATGCTGAAGAAATCATTAGACACTGGATTTGTGCCTGAAATTTGGAAAAGTTCATTCGTTAGACCGGTGCACAAAGCCGGTGTTAAAGCTAAAGTTGAAAACTATCGTGGTGTAGCCCTGCAGTGTGTAATACCAAAGTTGCTTGATTCCATCGTTGCCAAACACCTTAATTATCACATGGAGAATATTATTGATAACAGTCAACATGAATTTGTGAAGGGAAAATCTACAACTACAAATTTGGCTGAATTTACATCGTGTGCAATTTTAGAAATGAAAAACCAAATACAAACCGATGCAATTTACTTGGATATTGCGAAGGCCTTTGACTCGGTCAACATTGATTTACTAATACGCAAATTGGATATTATGGGACTGAATCAACAATTACTCAAGTGGATCAAATCGTATTTGTATGGTCGCCAACAGATTGTCAAATTGAATAATGACATGTCGAGCCCCATTGAAGTTACATCGGGAACTGGTCAGGGTTACCCGATTGGTGCTACATTGTTTCTGCTGTTCATCATTGATTTACCAAAACACATAAGAAACTCAATACTTCAG